ATACATATATATATATATATATATATATATATATTTCCATCATCTCCGATGGAGCCAAAATTTCACCTGTTTTTGGCTTTGGGGTGTGATGGAATAAATCAAAATGGATATCTAAACTATTTGCGCTTCTTTAATTAATGAAGTAGCAGTTAGTCAAGCAATGCAACTTTCGACGTTGAGCCGGGGGTCTCTTTGGAAACAGCCTCTCTACTTTCGAGTAGGGGCAAGGTCTGCGTACACACACCCTCCTCAGACCCTACTCTTGTGGGATTTAACTGGGTTGTTGTTGTTTGTATATATATATATATATATATATATATATATATATGTTAAACATATGTTTAACATACACACACACACACACACACACTTTAAAAGGGAAAAAAAACCAAAAAGTTGATGGATTGATATGAATTTATGATATATGAATTTATTTGCTTGCTTTTCCATATTTGATTTTACCAAGTAGTAGAATTTATGAATTTGGATTTTATTTCAGAATTAATTTAATAGCTATGAGTCCTAAATATCTATCCGGTAGTCAAAAACGTAAGAAGAGAAAACGAGATGAAATCTTAGAGAGTATAGACTGCGAAGATGTGATCAACCAATTTGCTCTTAAGAATGCGAGGAGAACTTCTCAAATCCTCAGCTAGCTTTTTCGGCATATAATTATAATACTATGAAATTTATTTATTTTCTTCTAATAATATTGCGTTAATTATCATTAAAATAAAATTAGTTTACATAGGTTAATTTGTTAGACTATTAGAGATAAGATTTTTTGGGGCCTTTTTTTTCTGTTTCAGCCCGAGCCGTTGAATTCTCAGGACCGACCCTGATTCCAAAATGTATGTTGATAGCTCTGTTGTCACGGCGTTGCCTAGTCGGAGTAGTCACCGACCGGCTTGGCGTCCAGGAGGGTGATGAGTCTCCCATGAACATTCGCCTTGCCTAATGGCATCAACTTGGTGTTACTAGGCATCCATTTTAGACGCCATAGATCCTTGACTTTTTGCCAAGTTTATTACTTCTTGGTCAATTTGTTTATGTTAAAGGGCGATTAACCTTAACTGAAGACTGAGTAGCGTGAGCAACTAACTCACTAACCCGTAATCGAAGAAGTGTCGGCGGCGTGATACATTCCCAATCGACCAAGGCTTGTAAGGCTCCAGGGAGTAAGCTGATTGTTTATTTTTTCTATTTTTCCCTTTTTTTAGTAATTTGATGCCTATTAAGGATTTTTATTTCTCTATTTTTTTTCTCCCCAAAAATATGTGACTTTGTCCATTCTTTAACTGCAAATTCTTTTTTGTCATCAGTTTTATGTTCGTTTGTAGACCTTTGTACATAAAATGATTTTATGTATTGAGTCTTAGTAAAAGTAATGAAATCCAAACATGAGTCCGTAGAAAATATGTGGTCCACAACTCCACATTTTACATATCGACTAGCAAACACCTAGTCGAATAGGCATCCTGGCGCTCCACTAGCCGGCGCCGCGCCTCACTTCGGCACCGTGATAACTATGGTTATTAGATGAATCAGAAGGTGTTGGATGATCAATCTAAGAATCTTCTAATCATTTTTGGGCACTTGGGCTTGATAAAGTAGAACCGGTCCACTCCAGTCGTCAAGAACTAGGTGACCCACTTCAGTCTTGGTGTATGGGTTAGACCAAAAATGACTTGGAATGGTTGTGCAAAAAGACATTAGATTGTGATTGTTGGTGCTTAATAAGCGTGTGATGCATGATAGAAAAGAATGTAAAAAGATGATTTGAAGGGATGATTAGGTTGATATAGCCGTTCTCACTTCTCAATGAATTAGGATAAATGCTTTGATGTTGTTGTACTCAGGCTTGAGCTCTTAAGTCCCCCGGCTTGGCCTTAGATATGCTCCAATTTATTCACATATTTTTGTGTTTCTATCTCACTTGAATAATTTTGTTTTAGCTTCCAGCTCGGTTGCCTCTTAAACCGTTTATACATGACTTCTTCCATTCACCACTGTCACAATCTCATATGCTTTCTGTTACTCGTATAATGCCAACAACCTCATTTTTAAAAGAGTCTTGGATTTCCCTGCAAGTTAGCATAAACAGTGTTTGCCAAAATTCTGCAAAGAATTAATGCCATCTTTAAATTAAACTTTGTTTTCATTGCAATACTTGTGAAGCATTTTTACATATATACTTGCTTCTTCTGCTTATACGGAGCCACATATATTGTCATATTGTCATAAATAGCTTCTGGATTTGTTTTCTCAAACATAAAAGGGCTGTTGATAGCTTGACCTTCTTATAAATTGGGATGCCCCGTAACTATGGCCCATACTTTGCCTAAATTCTAGAACATTCAATCATGTAATATGATTCTCATCAAGACACCAATTCTCATACTTCAATATTAATGTAAACTTGTTTAGTAACTGTATATCCTAATAGGATTTTAGTGGCTATGTGTGAGTGATGTAGGCATTTATTTCAGTCTGCGCACTATTTTCACTGTTTTGCCATGAATCGTATAGGAAACAGCTTCTCTACTCTTGAAGTAGAGCCATAGTGATAGTAATATCTCCATACATCCTACCCTCCAAACCCAATTCTTGTGTGAGATATACTGTGTATGTTAGGTTAGGTTTGGTGTAACTGATTGTCACATGGTATTGCAGCATTAATCTGAAACTCTGACAGATTATGTTGCTTTGGGGTTTTTCGTCTGCAGTGGGCTTGAGTACAAACAAGTAGGGGAGTACAAATAGAGTAGTAATCCATGAAAGGGGGAAGAAAGAATTTAAAGAGAGCCATAAATAATAAAACCACGGCACTTCAACAGGGCCAAATGATTATGCAAGTGGTTGACCTCCGTGGCTCCAATCAAATAGAGGTTACTCCATGTCTCTCTCTCTCTCTCCAAACACAATATCTTTATATATGTATAATTTATATAGTGCTTGGTTCGAAATTGAATAGTTTGTATTTTAAAGGTAATGGATGCAAAGGGTGAAAAGTTTTTAGCAATATTCCCAGCCAAGTTTCAAAAGAGCATGTGGATTAAAAGAGGTTTGATTTGTTAAAATAATATCTTCCTACATATTCGTTATTTATTACGGTTTATTCTATTGAAAAAGGGAGGAGATTATGAAATCTTTATCTTGTGGGTTCTTGTTCGTTTATGCGAATGACTAGGGAACTTTGTTGTGGTTGACGAGAGCGCAAAGGAGGAGGCAATTGAATCAGGGATGAAAGTGGGTTGCACTGTCACACAAGTTCTCTTTTATGATCAAGTTCGCGAGTATCAAAAGTCCCCAAATTGGTGAGTGCTTGACCCCCCCCCAATCTCTCTCCCCCTCTTTCTTTGGTGGAGAGAGATGTGAAGATTGAGATTATATTTTTTTACGGAAAATGCATTTGTAGTAGAGATTAAGATTGGGTTTTCTTTGGAAGCCACGAGAGACAATATAAGCTTTTGGTTTCTCGTATTTATTGCCATCTTACAACGCAGGCCAGATGTCTTCAAATCTGCAGCAATAGAAAGTTCATCGCAAAATTTGGAAAGGCACGCGTCTCAGACATCATGCGGTGATGACGAGGAAGATGAAGAGGATGACGGGCTTCCTCCATTAGAAGCCAATACCAACAGATTAAAGCCTTTCCAATTGGAGTCGGATACAGAGCAAGATTCGGACTCTGATTCCTGATTTGCAGTCAGATTCGCCCCGCAAATGGGGGAGCTACAGGTTAATCCGAAGTAAACTGCCAACTTTTTTGAACTTCATTTGTTGAGATTTTGTAACCTGAAGCTCTTTTCTTGGAAGACCGTAATCCAATATGGCTTTTCGAACATTTTTTTCCACTAAGGATATGGGCTTAACTACACAGTTGCTATGTCGCTAACACAATGAAATGAAAAAGATTGAAACGAGTTTACAACTTGAAAAATTCTTAAAAACAAAGAAACCAAGAGGACCACAAATTCCTCGCATTGCCAATTGACAACAATTTTAGTATGATTCTTGCTAATCTGCAAAATGGAAAAGAGGTGGGTCGGGGGGGGGGGGGGGNNNNGATACAGGCGGGATGTTGAGAGGTAAAAACCATTTTCACACGTAATGGAATATCGTAATATAAGTGCCCAATGTCGTAATACAGAGTATGGGGAGAGTATGACATTAGGGTCACTTTGATGAATTTTGGAGATATGGTAATATATGAGTTTTGAAATTTAGGAAAAATGAAATCAAATTGGAAATCTGAAAAGAAATTATTTGGAAAAAATAGAAATACAATCACACACGATTACAAGTCTTATGCTAACAAAAAAAAACACTTGTGATAATAAGTAAAAGAAAATGTAATGATTAAAAATTGTGCGGCTATTCCAAGTTAATAGGGGGGCGTGAATTCCCAGTCAGATATGGAGACACGAAATTCGAAAGCCGCAAAACAAAGAGGATTTAGAGCTGCGATTCAATACCAGATATTCCATTTCTCCTCATATCAATTCTGGATCTCTTTTTACATTCACCAAACATCTTTTTTCTAAATTTGATATCTCTGATATTCAAACCCATATATGATTTGTTCACCAAACATACCCTTAAGGGCTAAGGCATATGCAATGGGAGGAGGAAATAAAAATTACATATCAAAATACCTCATCAAAAGATCTACAAAACTAATAGTGGCAACAATATTTTATTTTATCAAATTGCTAACGAAAATAGAGAAAGAAAGTGAATGAAGTTTGACCATGCGAATAGTGAACAGACATTATAATTTGGGACGGAGGAAGTATTTTTTTAATACTATACCAATTTATAAATAAAATAAATAGAAGTCACGGGGTTTGGCACGATGTTCGAATAGTGTACTTCTATTAAGACGGCGGAGCATAAGTTTTAAGATAAAAATGATAAATATTGTAAAATGATTGGAGGAACTGGGCAGGAGTATGATAACATTGCAGGTATTTTAAACTGGTGTAGAAAAAGAAGAGAATGATGTCGTCAAGTGACAAAACCTGTTTTCCAACTTCTCTTTCTCTCACCCATTCTTTTCTTCATTCATCCCATGGTTTTTCTTTCACCCCACATCTCCACATGTGGAATTGCATTTTTCTCACCCATTGAAATTGCATTTTTTCCAAGATGACATTATAGGTCAAAAATATTAATCTTTGACCTATAAAATTAGGAAAAAAACAATTAGAATATTACGGATTAATTGATATTATATGCTAAAGTTTAACCCTAGTTGACTTCAAAAAGGAAACATTTGGCAAACACTTTAGGACCAAGTGAATATATTAAATAGAAAAGTAGACCAAAAAAAGTAAAAGCACATTACTATTATTTAAAAAAATGGACCATTAAATGCAAGAATTTTGTAGAATTTTCAGAATGGAAAGATTAATCATAGATAACGCATTGATTTGAAGGACAGACCGTGCAATTTACCTTATGTTTTCATTCATTTTTTCTTTTTTTATATCTCTTAGCAAACAAGAAATAGTCTTCAATATTATTTTCTTTTCTTTACCCTTTGAGAAGAGTGAGTTGAGAATTGGGGTCACACTTGGGGTACCCCTAAGCTTAATTCATAAGGATAAACCACAAAGGATGTTATGGATTTGATAGCTTTTACAAATAATATCCATAAAATGCATAATACAGTGTGTGGAATTCAAGTTCCACCAACATTCCACCTTATACCCCACACATAACTAAATACAGCACTCAAATATTTACCCAAATAAAAGGGAAAATTCATTTACTTTTCTCATGCACATACACCAACCAAGCTTTCCTACAAGTGTCATCTTCCATGTTTAGAAAAATCTCTCTTCTCAGTTCATCTTCAAGCAAACAAACTGCAAAACACCATAAATCCCCACACTTTTCGATAATTGTAGAATTTTTACGAAAACTGATCTGTGTTTCTCATTAATCACCACTGTATATATACAAACATACAAGCGGGCTTAAGTAGTGGGCCCAAATTACTAATCTACGTCTTTAATACAAATACCCGCTAACACTCCCCCTCAAGTTGGCGCATGAAGATCCTGAATGCCCAACTTGCACAATAAAAAATCAAAAACAGGTTTTGTCAATGGTTTAGTAAAAATATCCGCTAATTGATACCGAGTGGGAACATATCTCGTTGACACCTCGTATCGTTGAACACTCTCGCGCACCGTATGACAATCAACATCAACATGTTTCATGCGTTCATGAAACACTGGATTAGCCGCAATATATAATGCAGACTGGTTGTCGCAATATAACCGTGGAGGATATAAAATATTAACCCCCAAAGCTCCAAGAATACCATGCATCCACCTCACTTCGACGCAGGCATTAGCCATGGCCCGGTACTCGGCCTCTGCAGAGGATCTAGCAACAGTGGTCTGCTTCTTTGTTTTCCAAGACACAGGAGAGGTACCCAGCATAATAAAATACCCGCTAACCGAGCGGCGAGATAGTGGGCAACTCGCCCAGTCAGAGTCACAATAAGCTAAAATCTGGAGATTACTGGTAGCACTAAGAAAAATGCTCTGACCTGGGTGACCTTTGATGTACCGGAGGACTCGCATGGCTGCATTCATGTGATCGAGAGTAGGTGCCTGCATAAACTGTGAGAGGACATGAACAGAGTAACAAATATCCGGGCGGGTGATAGTCAAATAGATCAAGCGACCGACGAGACGACGATACCGAGCTGGGTCGTGAAGAAGAGGGGCAGTGGACCTACTCAGGTCGTGCGTCGTCGGTAGTGGAGTCCCAGCGGGGGTTTACAGCCTAACAACCCCGCTTCTTGTAGAATCTCCAAAGCATACTTCCGTTGACTTAAGACCATACCGGTAGGAGAACGAGCACATTCAATACCCAAAAAATATTTGACGGGTCCTAAGTCCTTAAGCTGAAAACACCGATCCAAGTATCGTTTGAAAGAAGCACACATGGAAGAATTATTGCATACAACCAAAATGTCATCCACATATACTAAAACAGTGAGAAGATCAGGGCCACGCCTGAGAATAAATAAAGTATGATCCTTATGAGCCTGCTTAAAACCCCAGTGACGAAGAGCTGTGCTAAGCTTATGAAACCAGTTCCGAGGAGACTGACGCAAACCATATAAAGATTTGCGAAGACGACATACTTTTCCCGGAACAGAAAAACAAGGTGGTAAACGCATGTAAACTTCCTCAATTAAATCACCATTCAAGAAAGCATTATTAACATCCAGTTGATGTATCTCCCAGCCCCGAGCCACATCAACAGATAAGAGAATACAGACCGTACCCATTTTGGCTACAGGAGCAAAAGTATCTGTATAATCCGTACCGAACTCCTGGTGATTCCCCAAAACAACCAACCGAGCTTTATCACGCTCCTTCGTTCCATCTGAATGAAACTTGGTACGGTAGACCCATTGACATCCCAAAGCCGTCCTCCCAGGTGGAAGATCCGTGATATCCCATGTATGATTATTCGCCAAGGCATCAATCTCCTGTTGCATAGCTAAGCGCCAATTGGCATGCTGCATAGCTTGCTTGAAAGTCCTTGGTACCTCATGGGAGGAAACGGCAGCAAGATATCCACGGTACCTGTCATGCAATTTCTCATAATGAACAAAGTTATGGATAGGATACCGAGTACCTGAAGAATGAGAAGAGGTAATGGAGGGAGCAACATGAGTCAATGTCCGAGCTGTGTGACAGTAATAGTCGGATAAATGTGTAGGAGGACGACGTTCACGAACAGGACGAGGGAGCAACGGCGGACTGTCCGGGGCAGTTTCACCGTTGCTATCGGAGGAGGTGGGGGACTGCCCAGAGACACTGGACTCAAGAGGGCTGGACGTTTGGACAGCAGGGGGCTCTGGGAAATCAGCGTGCTCATGCCGCGGGGAAGAGTCAGGTGGGACGCGTGAAGGATTAGAGATAGCAAACGGAAAAGTGGTTTCTTCAAAAGAAATGTCCCGAGTATGAAAGAAACGGTGAGACTCAAGATCATAAATACGCCAACCCTTAGTCCCCGTAGGATATCCCACAAACATACATTTGACACTACGTGGATGAAATTTATTAGGTGGACGCTGAAGGTGACGAATAAAACACAAACACCCAAATAGCCGAAGATGAGACAAGTTTGGAGGTTTTGAAGAAAGGAGTTCATATGGAGATTTACCGTGCAAAAGAGGAGTCGGAGTACGGTTTATGAGATATACTGTTGTACGTACACACTCCCCCCAAAATTCAATTGGCAAAGAGGCCTGAAACATAAGAGATCGGGCGACATTAAGGATATGACGATGTTTACGCTCGACCCGACCATTTTGCTGTGGGGTATTAACACAAGAAGTTTGAATCAGAACACCCATATCATTATAAAACATACACAAGGGTTTATTGAGAAACTCAGTACCATTATCTGAGCGCACAACCTTAATTATTTTACCAAACTGAGTTCGAATCATGGTAAAAAATTGTTTCAAACAACTGGTAACCTCACTTTTGTCAATAATAAGAAATACCCAAACAGCTCGAGAATAGTCATCAACAATGGTGAGAAAGTAATGAGCCCCTGTGGATATGCAAGCAGAATATGGACCCCATAAATCACAAAGAATAAGATCAAACAATGCATCTGCTTTATTAAGACTAGGGGAAAATTGGGAACGTGTCTGTTTGGAAAAGAAACAAATATCACAAGACTGAAAATTTTTAATTTCAGCAGTACTCTTATTAAATGGAGGTAGAGACAAAACTTGAGGAGACGGATGACCAAGACGTTGGTGTAATAAGGAAACAGACTCGGCTTTGGACGCTTGGGCTTGAGAAGGAAAGACATAGACCCCGTTGCGTGCTTCACATTGACCAATCCGCGTCTTCGTAGTTCGGTCCTGTATCACACA